AAAAAAAAAAAAAAATTTATCTGATCGACAGGTAAAAATTTTAAAAAATTTATTGATTATTATTATTATTTATCACCGTAATATACATTCCACCTTTATTCTCATTTTTACGTTCTTTAAGAAATGATTCTGCTTCAGGGGTAAGACCATGAATTATTGTTATATCTTTTAATCTTTTGTGTTTTTCCAATTGTTTAATATCTGATTTGGTAAATTTTACTGGTGGACAAATCATCAATTCTTCAAGATTTTGAAATTTTTTTAATGTTCTAATAAGACACTAAAAAAAGGTGAAATAAATATGAAATTAAAAAAGTGAAAATAAATATATGAAATTACAAAAAATTTAAAACCAAAAAAAAAAAAAAAGTCATTTTTACTCACACTTCCATCTGATTCTTGCATTCGACATCTTAATACCATAGATTTAATTTGAGGACATCTAATTGCCAATTTTTCTAATGCAGCAGCATTAAGTTTAAGATTAAAAGAATTATCATTTGTTCTAATTCCAGTATCATAAGCTTTAAATACTTTTAAAGTTCCTTTATTACGAGTTGATAAAGTATGAACTATTGAAGCCAAAGTTTGCCAAGGATAATTACGTACAGTAAATTCCACCAAATTTTTACATTCTCTTGTAATATTTACAAATGATGAACTGGTCATTTTTGTACATGACATGGCAATAAAAGTTTTTAAATTCTTACAATTTATTGCAATATGTTTCATTCCTTCATCAGTTATACGAGCATTATATGCTATCATTAAATGTTTTAAATGAATATTACGATGATTTGCTAATGCTATTATAGCATTATCAGTTAAATGAAAACACATATAAATTTCTATTGATTCTAAAAATTTACAATTTTCAGCAAATTTTTCTACTGTTATATCAGTTATATGAACTGTTGCTAAATGTAGATGACGTAAAAATGATTGATAATTTGACATAGAAGAACTAAATTTTGGATAATCAATATCATGAATTATTCTTATCCTTAAAGATTCAAGTTTAGCGAAAGCGAAAGATAAAGTTTCAGCTGCATCATCAGTTATATCATTCTCAAATTGTGATGTTAAAGATTTTAATTTTAAAGCACCTGTTAAAAGACCTTGTAATCCAGCAAAATTAATATGTTTACATTCAAAAATTTGTAAATTTGGAAATGATTTTACTATCATTCTTGCAATTTCCAACTTATTTACACGTTGATATAATTTAAGTGAAGTAATATTTCTACATTTTTCTCCTACATCTTTAAGTACATCAAAACCCCAATTTCTATTCCAATCATTTATTTCTAAATGTTGTAATTTTGGACATAATCCTTCTCTCATAGGTCTTAAAGCTCCATGTAACCATTCATTATCACAATTTGATACTGTAAAAGAAATTAAATTTGGTGTTGAACTTAACATTGCTGTTACATTAGAAACTGTAAAAGGTTGTCTTTGATTTGATATTGTAATATGTTTAATATTTGGACATTTTCTTGAAATTAATTTTAAATCAACACTTGAAAATTCTGGTAAACTTTCAAAACATCGATGACTTTTAAAAATAATTCTTTGAACCATATTACCATATAAAAATTTGGGTTTTCTACTACGAAGTGTACGTAAAAATTTTTGATAAGATTCTGCAGTTTTCCATATAGGAGATTTCCATAATTGTCTTACCAATACCTATAATATAAAAGAGAGAATGATTTCAATGATTTTTTTTAAAAGATATCTTTTTTAAATGTTTTTTTTTAAAAAGATCAGTTTACCATAGTCCATACGGTATTTACGAAAAGACAATTAAAGGTGTCATCTTGACGATCGATGTAATTAGATATACAAAATAACACATCGGGTGATAATAAAACTTTTTGAGCCGCTGTATTTTGTTCAATTAGAGAATAAATGAGAGTCATGATTCAAAAAAAAAGGTAAAAAAANAGGATAAAGGAGGAAAAAAGCCGGTTGTATCATAAATTGGGTCTTCATTGTCAGAATCTTCAAAAGATTCATAAATAATTGGTCTGGGTTTAGCCGGCATCAAAGGTATCAAAGGGCTATTTGAAAGTGACTTTGGTGTAAGTGGAGCAACTAATATAAAAGTAGAAAGAAAGAAAAAAAATTTAGAATTAGTGTCCAGAAATATTAAAATAAAGTAAAAAAAGCGAAAAAAGTGAAAAAAAAGTGTATATATATATGTATATATATATATAATTTTTTTTTGTTTTCTTTGAGAAAGAATAATATCTTAAATATCTTACTTGGACATTCATGGTCATTTTCAAACAAGGAAAAGTCCACTAGTTCTTGTATTAAGGGAGTTTGAACGTCCTTAACCTTTGGTTTTTCAGGTTGTAACGATTGCCCCATGGCAACATTTTTTTCTTTTTCGTTTGCTGGTTCTTTTTGCCACATAAGTGACAAAGGAGTCGATGGTGGCGAACCCTTTGGTTGTTGTTGTAAATCCACTTGGTTATATGAAGGTAAAGGTGGTGTCTGCATAGAACCACCAAGTCTATTATTAGATGTGTATAAGAGACAGCCTATATATATATAAAATAAATTATTTTATATATTTTTTATATTTTTTATATATATTTTATATAAATTTTATATAAATTTTATATAGAAAAAGTATTTTGCAAAAAAAAAAAAAAAATAAGTATTTTTACAAGAAAAAATTTATTTTATATTAAACATGAAAAATAATTTAAAAAATAGATTATTTTACATAAAAAAAAATTATTTAAAAATTATTTTTTATATATTTAAAAAATATATTATTTCATATATATATATATGTATATGTATATATATAAAATAGATTGGTTTATTTATTTTGAAACAAAATAAAGTAGTTCATACATCATTTTATAAATTCACAAAAAAAGATTAATGCTGCGCCCTTATTCATACATAATAATTCATTGTAAAAGAAATATTTACCAATACACAACATTTTTTTATTGCGGGGAGGCGGAAATTTATTTATTCATATAGTAGATCTATAATTTTAGCGGTTGGTGCTAATCCCGTTATGCATTATTGAAGGATTCTTATGATGATAAAATAAAAAGGTATATAATATTTTAAGTAAATTAAATAAAAATGTAACATTGCAACATTTTAGACATTTCTACATTTATTCATTTAAACAGTCAATAACTGATCACAAGTTATTAAGACGCCACAATAAAAGGTAATTTCATGTGACTCTAATGATAAGTATTTTATAAATTATTAAGGAGCCAAGGAAATATCCTTTTTATCCATTGCTTATTATATGCTACATAAATAGAAAATAGCTTTTTAATCAATCAATAAGGTATTTATTGTAATACAATTTTTAATAATATTTATATTTCAAAGCCGCCCCAAACTTAAAAAAAAAAGAATGACTATATGTATTTTAATTATACATGTTAAAAATGTTTTTTTTTAAAAAAAAAATTACTTGAAGACATAAAAACATAAAAAATTTATCTAATCATAACTAATCATAAATTATCTTAAAATTTTTTCATGTCTCTAGTAATTACTGAAAAATATTGGCATACGTGGCAATGAACCAGCGAAGCCACGCCTTTGTTTACGACGAATGTTCCACAATGAAATCAATAACACTGGTAATCGATTATAATACGTTTCAGTGGTATACCATAAATTTCGATTATTACGCTATCCAACGTTGGATGGTTCTGTTTGTTTCCGCTTCGCTGTTTAATAACGATGTGCCAACCAAGTACGAAGATTTTTTGCCCGCAACTTATTTTTTTTTTTTAATTTTGGGATTTCCTTTCTATTGAGGATAAAGGAGGAAAAAAGCCGGTTGTATCATAAATTGGGTCTTCATTGTCAGAATCTTCAAAAGATTCATAAATAATTGGTCTGGGTTTAGCCGGCATCAAAGGTATCAAAGGGCTATTTGAAAGTGACTTTGGTGTAAGTGGAGCAACTAATATAAAAGTAGAAAGAAAGAAAAAAAATTTAGAATTAGTGTCCAGAAATATTAAAATAAAGTAAAAAAAGCGAAAAAAGTGAAAAAAAAGTGTATATATATATGTATATATATATATAATTTTTTTTTGTTTTCTTTGAGAAAGAATAATATCTTAAATATCTTACTTGGACATTCATGGTCATTTTCAAACAAGGAAAAGTCCACTAGTTCTTGTATTAAGGGAGTTTGAACGTCCTTAACCTTTGGTTTTTCAGGTTGTAACGATTGCCCCATGGCAACATTTTTTTCTTTTTCGTTTGCTGGTTCTTTTTGCCACATAAGTGACAAAGGAGTCGATGGTGGCGAACCCTTTGGTTGTTGTTGTAAATCCACTTGGTTATATGAAGGTAAAGGTGGTGTCTGCATAGAACCACCAAGTCTATTATTTGAAGTAGTTAAGTGTCTATCGTCGTGGGTTAGATTTTCATTTCTTCCGCCTCTTAAATCACCGACGCCCTTTTGTTGAAATTTGTGGTATTTGGTCATGAAAGACGACAAAGGCGCAGCCGTTTGGACAACTTCTTTCCAACAATATTTGGAATTTAACGCTTGTATTTATACATTTTTTTAATTGTAACTTGTGGAATAAAAACTGCGTTTGTACCTCTCGCAGCAATTTTCATAAGGAAATTAATGAATGTCAAAGCCTAACTATAATAAGATTGTGTATTCCGTCATTTTTAGTACTTGTATCACAATAACATTTCTTAAAATGAAAATTGGTTGGCTTCACAATTAATAACTCATAACTACTCATATTCTTTTTTTATTTTTCCCTCCCCCGTTCATCTTTCCAAATATTCAAAAAAATATTTCCCATATATAAAATCTTAAAATTTTTCAATTTTAAAATTAAAGTTTTTTTAGAAAAAAAAAAAAAAAATTTTTTTTTTTTTTACTTATTTATTTATTTAAAATTAAAAAATCTGCAATGTAAGGTACTTTAAAATTATTATTTTTTTTAAAAATAGTATACAAGTGATTCGTTATCATTTATAAAAAAAAAATGCCTCATTTTTATTTTCGCCGACCATATAAATTTTTTTTTTCAAAAAAAAGTGTAAAAGACAAGGAGAATATCGGGATGAGATGAAACAGTATGATGTAATGCATAATCGGAAATACTTTTCCGCGCCCAAAAACCTTTTTTTTTTTTATTTTTTTTGGAACTATTTATTTCAACCTTCCATCTAAAGTCGAGAAACTGAGAAACTGAGAAATTATTATTTTTTTTTTTTTTTAAAGTATATTAAATTTTGTTATTGTTGATAAGATTAATGACGAGAATGATGAGAAAATAATAATATAATAATAATAAAAAATAATAATAATAATAATAAATAATTTTTAATCCGATTTTTAATTTATATTATTCTTCCTTTATTTTTAATGAATGGATTTCAGTTTCACCAAAACCTCATTTGAAGTTATTCTTTCATACTTTAAAGAACTTTAAAGAAAGAAAAAGAAATCCATGTAATATGTTATTTAAAATATTCATAATCACAATAGTCCCAAAAAGATGATTCAATGTTTATTTATTTTTTTTTACCCCAAAAAAAAAATAAAAGAAATTTTTTTTTTTTTCTCTTTACAAACAATTGATTACGAAAATTTTTTATATATAATTACGTATATATATTTTTTTTTTTAAATGTATTTTAACTTTAAAATGATAAATTTTTAACAATGATTACTATAAAGTTTAAACAAGGAAAAAGTTTTTTTTTGTGTTTGCAAATCCTTTGTTCAAAAATGATTTCTCGCGTGGATTTCTTGCATTCTTATTTGTAAATTGTTTTTCTGTCGGTTTATCGGTTAAATTTATTTAATAATCGTCGTAATCGTGTACGTGTAATGAGGTAACGTAAAAAAATGGAAAATGGTAATCTGTTGAATATGTTGTTGATCATGTGATATATATTAATTAAACAACAATTCTTTTATGATTTCCTATTATTATCCAACAAGTTTTTTTTTTTTTTTTTTTTTTTAAGTAAACATATTTTTTTTCCCTTACATACTTTCAATCATCGTCAAATTGGATAAATTGTTTACCAATTTTAAAATGTAATGTCATTAATAATAATAATAATAATAAATAATAATACCTAATAATAATAGACTATTAATAACATTGATTACATTGATTATTCATTTCATTAAATTAATTTCCCCATTTCATCAGATTAAATAATGAAAGCGATCTTCCCCGGTTTCCCCGTTTTCAAAAAAAAAATTTTATAATATAATAAAAATAAAATAAAAATAGAATTGTATAGAATTGAATAGAATTTTATTTTATTTTATTTTACTTTATTTTTTATAAAAAAAAAATAATTTTTTTTTTTGTTTAATTAAAATAACTTTCGATTAAGGTAACTTTCATTTAAGATAACCTTCATTTAAGATAACCTTCATTTAAGGTAACCCTCATTTAAGGTAACTTTCAATTAAGGTAACTTCAATTATAAAGTTATCTTTATTACTTCAATTGTGTAAACGGGTTACTTTCATTACTTCAATTGTAAACGGGTTACTTTCATTACTTCAATTATAAGATACTTTCAATTAAGGCAACTAAACAATTATTACAATTACCCAATTATCATTTAACAAATATTTTCTAAATTTATCCTTATTTTATTATTTTCGGATGTTTTCAAATAATTTATTGACAAGTATAATACTGATTTACAATGAAAAAATATGTAAAGAATAGGTAAAAAAATTTTAATTGTTAAAAAAAAAAAGGGTCATTATTATGGGTGAAAAAAATGGTAAATGATAACAGGTTATTTATTTAAAGTTAGATCGTACAAATAAATCCGATTCCATGTTTTTTTACTGAGTTGAATTATTATAACACCATAAAAGTCTTTTAACTATAACATTATTTTTATTTATTATTATTATTATTTATTATTATTATTATTTTTTTTTTATTATTTATTATTATTATTATTAGTTTTATTAAATTTGAATATTTATTTTATCAATTTTATCATCAGATAAGTATATCACATGACTATATATTTTGAAATTACATAATACGATATAATTAAATTACACAATAGCTTACATCTTGAATACGCTCAATCCTTTCTATAATAATATTCTCAATATACGCATGACTCTTTTCAATTTAATATATTAGAAATATTAGATTTTCTTTTTTTGATAATCTTTCGTTACAATTTTATTAAAGTCTCAATTGGTTAATAACTTATCAAATTATATAAAATCATCATCTTATCTATAAACCTAATCAGCAATAACAATAAAATAATCTAATTAATCTTAAATTATTTTAATATTTGTTGTTCCTTTTGCTTCTTCGACTAATACAGGATCAATATTTGATATTGTAATTGTTCCATCACATAAATATTGTCTATTATTATTTTCAATATGTTCTAATATATAATTATAATTCGCCATGATTCCAAATGATTCTTCCAATCCTTTTTCTACAAAAATAAATATTATATATATATATTATTATAAATATAAATAAATATAATAAATAAATTATTAAAGTTATAATTTAGGTCACTTACTTGATATATCTCCTAACCAATTTAATCTATAAACGCACGCGCCATTTCTTATATGAAAATTAGCTAAGAATGAAATTTTTCAATGAGTATTTTTGAATTTTTGATGGATTAGATCTATTTAACCCCAAATTATGGTTTAACTTACCAACAGGATCTAATGCCAAATTCCTTCTCTTCTCTGTCAAAATATATCTAAATTATATTAATTCATATCAAACATTATGTCATATAAAATATAAAATATCATGTCATATCAAATATCGATATCATATATCGATATCAAATATCAATATCTTGTCATATCAAATATTATGTCATATCAAATATCATGTCGTATCAAATATTAAAAGTTATAAACACACCTTGCACATAATCTCATCAATATAGGTTTCAACTCTCGAAAACATTTTTCATCTCTGATCCATTCTTTTGTTTTTATTAAATGTTTTAAAATTTCTGCTCCATTACCATCTAAATCATTTCTTACCCTCTTAATCTTTTCAATTTCTTCCTTAATTAACATACTATCCTCTTCAACATTTATAGTATTAATCAACCATTTATTAAATCCTGGTATAGGACTTAACGTTGAAAAAGTTTCTATACTTGGAAATTCATTTTGTAATTCTCTTACTACTCTTTTAATTAAAAAATTACCAAGTTCAATTCCTGACAATCCTTGTTGACTTGTTATTGAATAAAAAATTGCACATTGTATATCTTCCGATTGTGGTATAGATCTTGTTGGACTAGGATCTTCCAATATTATCTACATATATTTGTCTGGCTTAGTAAATTAAAATAATTTTATATTTACAAGTGCCACCCGTTATAACGAGATTGATGTCGTTATATAAAACATATTAAATCACTTTATAACGACATACCACTTTTTGGATCTGATTTCGTTATGTAAAACATATTATATCACATTATATATAACGACCTAAAGAGTGTCATTATAACGGCGGCACTTATACCATATTTACCTGCACATTGTTCACAATCTCCTTTGTTAAAGCTACTTGAATAAATACAAGTGGTTCATTACTAATATCCCTATAAAAGAATGCGAAGAGTCGTCGCCCTGGAATATAATAAAATATTATCATCCATTTTTTTTAATAAAAAAAATTTTTAAAAATTAATTAATAATGATGATATTTACCAGGCCCTACACGTCTAAAATTAAATTAAATATAATAATAACAATTAAAATATTATTTTCATTTTTTTTTTAGACTCTCCTCGAAATATATAGATATATAATAAATAAACCTCTTCATATCATCCCAATCCTTTATAGCGTGTACTGCCTCATATTCCATGACTTTTTCCAAAGAAGCGGCAGGTGAATGCCATGTTAATCTCTTTAAACTTAAAAATCCAACCAATAATGATGATAACTTTTCTCTTAAAGATTCGTTCAACGTCATTAAAACTGCATCATGCCCATTTTCTCTCAAATATACCTATAATTATCAATTATAAATTAGGAAGTACCTAAATTAGTGAGTAGAGAGTAGAAATAATAAATGATAAACTTACTAATAAATCAGCACGCATATCCATTAAAAATTTCGTTCCATTAGGCAATCGATTTATCCGATCAAAAAATACGTGATGTATCGGAATTACAGCATGTCGAAGTATTTGCTCTGCCCGAAGTATTGCTCTCTCATTCTAAATAAAGTAAATAAAGTTGACTTTTCAGTAAAATAAGTCATGGTATATTTCACATTCAGTTAATCAATCCCTACCGCATCTGCATTTGATATCCCAATATAATGATCTGTCGCTTTAAATACTTTATCTCTTACCACACCTGTTATTAAAGAAATTCTTTAGCAGTAATTAATGAGTTACGGAAATCATATTAAATTTATCTCTTACCAAAATCATGAGCAAGTATTTTCAAAAATTTAATCCTATCTTCCTAATTATTTGTTTTTTTTTGCATCATCAAAGAAAAAAATTATTAATAAACCGCTTATGCCACTTGGTGTACTTAAATTACTTTTATTATGAAAATAAATACAAACTTTATCAAGATTTTCATATAATTCACAACATTTTTTTGTCATTAAAGTAGGTACTAAATCACCTTCATTACGTTTTTCTGATACGGAAACTGATATTAATTTACGTATAAATCTAGGTTCGCTAATGGCTAATTTTGAATTTGGTCCACCAAATGAGAAAAATCCTGAAAAAAAAATTTCACTAAATTTAATTTATTTGATAATTTACTTTTATTTAAATTAGAACAAAATATTTGTTTTTATTTACCAGGTTCATGCGTATAAGCTTCAATATTTTGCCAAAAATCCTCTATAGCATCTGTTTTTAATGATTGTTGTATATATTGTTCAAACAAATTTTGTGCTTCATTATTAGATATGGGTTTTTGTGGCAAATCATGATTAAAACTCGAAAATTTTCGATTATGCTTATTTTGTTTCATGATATTTTGTATTATTGACTAAACAGTAAACAATTTCAAGTCAAAAAATAAATTTTGCAAGCTTACAAAAGTTAACATTATAATTATAATTTATTTAAATTTACAAACCTTTTTATTATGTCTGTATAGATTATAATATACAGTCGGTGTTTTTTGAAGTCTCTGAAATATTATCGAATAATTTTTATTGAGGTGACGAATACATGAAAATACAGACATTATATTATCAAATAAAAAAATTAAAATAATAATATCAAATAATAACAATAATAATAGTACAGTAATTTAATTTAATTAATCGCTCACGATAAAAAAACCAGTCATCTCTCGGACATCTCTCTTTTTTATAATGATAAAATGATCGATCCTGCATCTAAAGGATTAAAGTTACGTTACAACCGCTGATCAGAGCAATAATAAATCATCGATCAAACTTTGTAATACATAGAACAATTTTTTTTTTATCTAAAAATCATTTTAGAAAAAAAAATGATTCAATTAAAAACATTATTAAATGTAATTGATAATACTGGTGCAATAATTGCAGAATGTATTAGAGTAGGTCATGGTGGTAGATACGGTCGAATAGGTAAAAACAATGATATAGTTTAAAGTTTTAAAATATTTTTGGCTCTATTTTATATAACACTATCTTTAAAGTATTCCAATTCTTATCTTCCATTCCTTTTAACATTAGGTGATCCAATAACAGTTGTAATTAAAAAGGCAAAACCAATTTCACAAGTAGCTTCCACAGTAGCAACGTCACCTTCAGCTGCATCAAATCCAGCTGCTAAATTACAAATACGTAGAGGTGAAGTAAAGAAAGCTTTAATTGTTCGAACTCGTAAGGAAACGAGGAGACTTGACGGTAGATATATCAAATTTGATGATAATGCTTGCATTCTATTAAATAATAAACAAGAACCTTTGGGTACTAGAGTGTTGGGTGTCGTAGGGGCTGAATTGAGAAATAAGAAATGGGGAAAGGTTATTAGTTTGGCCCCTAGAGTTGTCTAAGAGCTGGTTAAATTGGATGTTAGTTTAAATTGGATGTTAGTTTTAAAAACAAAATAGTTTTTTTTTTTCTATTAATGGCTTGATCTAACTTAATTGATAATTTAATTTCATGGAATAATAAAAAATTTAACCATGATGATTTAATATGAAGAGTTTCTTTTCATTGCAAAATTGAAGGGCATCACTATCCTTAATTTTTCACGTTATACATTAGAAATGTATTTCATTCTAAAGTTTTTAAGTTTAAATCTATTTTATATGGAAAGTATTACTAGTGAACCTAATGCATCAATCCGCCTTCAATATATAAAGAAACCTGTGGATAAGTATAAAAGAATTTGAAATTTGAAGAGAATACTTTTGATATTTTAAGAAATAATATTTATTATTATATTTATTATAAATTAGATATCAATAAAATGTAAGTTTTTAATTTAAAATTCTTGCAATTTTTTATAAGAAATATAATTCATCAATTTTCCAATCTTTAAATTTAGGTTAATAAACTTTCAAGTATATCAAATTATTATTTTAATTCAAATTGTAATAATATTTTAATTTAAAATATCAAATTAAAAATTAAAGAAGAATTATGGTTAATTTATTCTTTTTGAAATTAAAAGATATAATGAATCTGTTTTGCTAAATATTAAAAATATATAATTTGTTGATTTTTAATGAAAAGAGATTTAATATTTTTATTTTAAAATAGTAAATCAATTTATAAATATATTTATTAGAATATATAAATAAATATAAATATATATATATAAATTTCTAATCAAATATATTTTTATATTTTATTAAGATAATTTTTAAAGTTTATATTTAATAAAAAGCCGGTAACTTTTTATCAAATAGTACATGATTTTAATTGCCAAATCTGATACATAATTGGGCTCTTTGTATAGAATCAAAAGGAGGGAAACTACCAAAAAAATTAAATTTATATTTATATACTAAAAATGCTTCAAATATTATGATTTGTTCAGAATTAATATTAACTAAAAAAATTTTTTTTTAGCAGTTTTCCTCCTTTCTATTGCAAAGAGTCCAATTATATTATAATATAATAAAATATATCCATTTAATCATCAGAACCAGAGAAATTATTTTTTTTTTAAAAAAATGATAATTAATATAATTAATTTAAAGAAAATCAAATAGAGCTTAGCTAGATATTTTTGGAAGAGTAATATGCATATAATATATGAATAAATTTGTTAAAACATTTTACAATCAATTAAAATTAATCAGATAATAATTTAAATTTACTGGATAGTAATTTTTGAAGATCTATTACATCAATTATAACCAGTACAACCTTTCATAAAGGAAAAATCTAAATTACTTTAAAATAAAATACAAAAAAGAAAAAAGTTCAAAGAAAAGTAAAAACTGCTAACTTTTATATTAATAAAACTAAATCAAAGCAGAAGCTATTTTTTTGCAGAACTGACTTAATAATTTAAAAGTTAGCCATTCAGTTTCTAATCTAAAACTAGCAGTTTTTGTATAGAACAAGATAAGGATGCTTATCAAACCTATTTTTTTAAAATTTTAGTTTGGTCAAAATTCAATTTTATAATAAACTTAATTACCTAAACTGTTTTTATGCTTTTCTGAAACTAATTATAATTTAGGAAAGTTTTAGATTTACCAATTTTTTCATTAAATTTTTGAGTTTCAGATTTTTGAATTTTATTGTTAAATGAGTTTTGGCAGTAATACTAGAACAAGAAGAATAAAATAAAAGCTAAAAAAATACTGAAAAAAAGGTCATATATAATAATAGAATATTAACTAATAGAATCTGTATTGCATATATTAATGATATTATTTTATATAATGTTTCTTTAATCAGAAAAAATATTAACTTATTATACCATTTAAAAGTCATAAACAAAATAATCTTTATCAAAACAATTTGGCAAAAAACAAAATAAAAATGAATTATCAATGTCCTATAAAAAATCTTTATACTTAAAATATACTTAAAATTTTATCAAAATATACTTAAAATAAATATCAATTTTAATTTACAATATACTTATAATAACACTTGTTTTTTGCTTAAGTACTTAAATTATACTTAAAATATAGAATTTAAGTATAATATAAATATATTTTTTACATGTTTAAAATATTCTTAAAATATGTTTAAATTAAAATTTAAGTATATATATAGTAATTATACAAAATAAAAATTGTATTTCAATTATAAAATGTAATATTTTTTTTTTTAATTTTAAATTTTCTTCATTATTTTTATATTTCAGTTTGTTCTTATAGTATAGTTCTATTTTTTCAAATATTGTCAAATTGAAAAGAGAGATTCTTTCTTAAAGGGATAATCATCACTAATCTATTATTTAAATAGTTATTTTATTTACAAATTTTGGTTATTAAATGTAATAAATCTAATTACTACTCTTTTAAAAATATAATAAATAAATAAATAAAGTATAATGTAAAATATAATTTATAAATTTTACATCAAAGTTAAAAAAAAATTGAAATTAGAGTTCTCTCTAAAAAAAATAAAAACAAAATCTAAAAAAATAAAGAAATTAATTTTTTAAATAAACTAATAGCCTTCTGTTGTTATAGTTTATTTATTAATTTTTTTAGCATTTTTTTTAATTTATTACTTTCCTGCAAAAAATATATATTTTATAGAAATTATTTTATTTTAATTTATTATAAATATTTTTTTTTTTTTTTTTTTTTTTTG